CGCCATGCAGAGTGAGGTTAGATATTTATTTAGTGGGATATGAAGGGGAAAGGGAGAAGGGGAGAAAAGCAGAGAGGCAGACAGAGAGACAGAATTGGGGGATGGGGAAGTGGAAAGAGGCAGAAGCTGCCTCTTCAAAAGGGAGACAGAAAAGGAAGGAGCTCAGGCTGGAAGTTGAAGATCAGCCTGCCTCAGTGGATGGGGAGGGAGTGGGCGTGGCTTGTCTCTTAAAAAGACAGACCGTTACAAACATAGTAGGAGATTTCTTAATAGAAAACTTACAATCCAGAGGCAATGGAACAAATATAGTTAAAATACTGGAAAAAAACGGTAGTGATCTGACAGATTCTCTATCCAGCAAAATTACTTCAAATGTGAGGAAGTTCAAGTATGGCACTTGTCGTCTTTTTTTTTCTTTTTTTCATTTTTTTTTTTTTTGGCACTTGTCGTCTTAACACTGGAAGACTGAAACAGGAACACTGGGAGGTAAAGCCAGGCTGGCTACTTAGTGAGTATGATGGTTTGAATAGGAATGGCCCCCATAGACTCATGTTTAAATACTTGAGTGTTTACACTCATGTCCACAGGGAGTGACACTATTAGTTTGGCCTTATTGGAATAGGTGTGGCTTTGTGGGAGGAAGTTTGTCACTAGGGGGTGGGCTTTGAGGTCTTAGAAATTCAAACCAGTTGTCTGCCTTCTGCCAGCTGATCAAGGTATAGAACTCTTAACTCCTTCTCCATCACCATGTCTTATCTGCACACTGCCATACTTTCTGCCATGATGATAATGGACTAAACCTATAAGCTATAAGTGAGCCCCAATTAAATGTTTTCCTTTATAAGAGTTACCATGGCCATGGTGTCTCTTCACAACAATAAAACCCTAAGTCAGTGAGATTCAATCTCACAAAACAGAATAAGTTGCCAGAGGTAGAGGTTAAGTTATTACATTACCATTAGATGTATCTTAAATGTTTAAGGCAAATTCTTCAAGTTTAAATGGAAAGGTACTAGACAGTACAACATAGCTGTACTAAAAGTTTCCCCACTGATTACTTTTGTATTGCTGTGACAAATACCTAGTAGAAACACAGTTTACGAGGTGCTAGTTTATCATGACATGGAGGAGCTAGTGGAGCAGAGCAGTTCACATCATGGTGAACCAGAGACTAGATAAACATGGACACTAGCTGTTACAACCTACTAGCAGCTTATGAATCCCTCGCCAACTATTCAGAGTCAAACTATAAATTTTGTCTTTTCTCTGAAGATAGAAAGTATTTACAAATAATAAGTATTTAACAAGTAAACACCAGTATTTGAGGGAAGTCAACACTATAAAATAGATTTACCCAAGTGAATAAACCATAACTTATATTGGGAAGAGAAATCTGTAAGATACACAAATAGTACCAGTCTGGGGTTAAGGAGATGAATTGAATTTTTACCATTGCATTGCATACCGCAGGGCTTGTCACATTAGTATGTATACAATCAGTATTGAAATAAAACATCTTTTGGGCTGGAAGACTGTTTGAGTTGGCAAAATGCCTGCTGTGCATAATTAGGACTAGGTTTGATGTTACAGAAACCATATAAAAAACTAAGCACAACAGTACATTATAATTCCATCATCAAGGAAGCAGAAACAGGAAGAGCCCTTATGACTTACTGGCCTTGTTTCAAAAAATAAACTGGAGGATCTGCAAGATGGTTCAGTGGGTAAAGTCTCTTACTGTTGGACCTAATAACCCAAGTTTGATCCCTGGGTCCCATATGGTCCTGAAAGTAGTCCTTTGACCTCAATGTGCACACATGGTATATTTATGTGCCCCCAATAAAATATATTTTTAAAATAAGGTGTTGTGATTGAGGAAGACTTCCAACATTAATTTTTGCCCTCCATATGCAACCACATACAGATGCCAGTGTGGTGATTAGAGAAGTTATACCATTTATACAAGAAAAACAATGAAAAATGTTGGAAATTACACTTGCCATAGTTAAAAAAAAAGTAGCACTCACTAGCTAAGATACAGTAGGAATGCTGTGTGAAGCTAATCCTTTCAAAATATCAACAATAATATCAAGTATAATCAAACAATCACATAATCTAATTTCTACTGGAAGTTCTTCCAGAAAATGAGCAAATACTGGCCAAATTGGAGCACTCTACATCCCTGATTTCATGCCTCCTGAGGAACACCACCCAAGATTATTCTCTAGCCTTCACATGCATACATGCTTATGTGCACAGGTATACTCACATACACGTGAGCATGTTTATACGTTTGCATACACAGGTATGCACACAAAGTTGTCTGAGGTTTCTGTCCTGCCCAGTTCCCACAGTCATTAAGTCCCAAAGAACTCACACAGAGGTCTACATTAACTATAAACTGATTGGCCCATTAGCTCAGGCTTCTTATTAACTCTTATAACTTACATTAGCCCATTATTCTTGTCTGTGTTAGCTACATGGCTCGGTACCTTTTTTCAGCGAGACAGTCACATCTTGCTTCTTCTGTGTCTGGGCCGGGACTTCAGAGGAATGGGCTTCCTCCTTCCCAGAATTTTCCTGTTCTCCTTCACCCAACTATACTTCCTGCCTGCCTACTGGCCAATCAACGTTTATTTAAAATATAATTGACAGAATACAGACCATTCTCCCACACCACAAAGTAAAATAAAATTTATAATACTTGTTTTAAAAATCTATTCAAGATTTGAAAACATTTCTATATACACACAAAAACAATTATGCTTAGATGTTCATAGCACTATTATTCAAAGAGCAGAATAACCTAGCCATCCACAGTGACACATCTGTGGACTGGAGTAGTAATAGGCCGACAATAAAAGTAGTTTGTATTGGTTAGTTTTAGTTGTCAATGTGATAGAATCTAGAATTACCTTTGAAAGATTCCTAATAAGGAACTGTGTAAATTGCCCATGGGTATGTCTGTGTGAGATTTTCTTGAGTATGTTAGTTGATAGGGGAAGGAAGAGCCTAAAATTGGTGGAATCATTCCCTTGGTTTGGGTCCTGGACTGTACTAAAAGGAGAAAGTGAGCAAAGTGTCAGCATGTGTGCATTGTTTTATTACTCTTTGCTCCCGACCGTGGATATGATGTAGCTAGCTGCTTTTAGCTCCTGCAGCTGTGGCCTCCTTTCTAGAGTGAACTTCTGGAGTGGACCAGGTACTGTGAGCTAAAACAAACCCTTTCACCTTTAAGTAGCTTTTGTCAGGGTATTTTATCACAACAATTAGAAATGAAACAAAGACTTAATGACATACCAGTGTCGTTCATTAGAGTGACACTCATTTTAAAAAGCTTATGTTGTTGTGTATAGAGGTGTGGTGGCACATGTCTGTACTTGCACTGTGGAGGCTCTGGAGGGGTTTATAAGTTCAAAGCAACATTAGTTCTAATTACTGAAACCCTGTCTCAAAATCAGAGCCCAGCATAGCATTTATTTTGAATTTCTTTAATTGTGATCAAGATTGGCTATCTTTATATATTTAAATGCATTTTATTCCTTAGTTGTGAACTTACTGTTCATTGCCTATTTTTTTCTATTAATATTGGTCTTTCTTCTTTTTCTTTCTCCTCCTCCCCCCACAGGGTTTTGAACTCACTGGCCTTGAACTCACAGAGATCTGCATGCCTCTGACTCTCAGTGCCGGGATTAAAGGCACGTGCCACCACCACCTGGCTCACTTTTTTCTTCTTGATGTATAAGATTTCTTTGTGGGTTGACTTGTTTGTTGAATTTTTTGTCTTTTTGTTTTTTACATTTACTTATTGTGTGTATGTATGCGGTAGTATGCAACTCTGTGTGCCACAGAACATGTGTGGAGGCCAGAGTGCAAATTTTGAAAATCAAGTCCACCATCCTTAGGGGCTTAAATTTGGGTCATCAGGCTTAGCTGCAAATGCCAGTCTATGTAAGTGAGCCATCTCGCCAGCCCAAACCTAGTTTTTGTTTGTTTTCTTGATTAAATAATTCTTTAAAATGGATTCTGTCATTTAACAGCCCAATACTACATGTTATCAGTTTCCACCTTCACAGTTTTTTTAAGGATTTATTTATTATGTGTACAGTATTTACTGTAAGCTAGAAGAGGGCACCAGATCTCATTACAGATGTTTGTGAGCCCTAAATGGTTTCGAGCCAACATGTGGCTGCTGGGAATTGAACTCAGGACCTCTGAAAGAGCAGCCGGTCCTCTTAACCTCTGAGCTGTCTCTCCAGCCTCACCTTTACAGTTTTAATCAAAAACCTAAATCCTGTCTTACTGATGTCATTCATGTACATTGTTAAGTTTCTCAATGCTTATTATAATATTATTTCTAAGCTATGTCATCTTCACACATTTAATTAAATATTTGTGTTTCTTTTCTTTTTTTAAAGTTTCTTGAGACACGTTTTCTCTGTATAACCACCATTGCTATCCTGGAAGTCACTTTGTAGATCAGGCTAGCTTCAAACTCATGGAGATCTGCTTGCCTCTGCCTCCCAAGGGCTGGGATTAAAGGCGTGTGCCATCACACCCAGTGTATTTGTGTTTTTTATACCAGAGTATTTTAGTTTGAAGAAAAACTGATCAAGGAGATCCAGCTTTGGGTAGATTAATCTCACATTTAGATAATCATTAAGGTAAATGTAGTTTATGACTGTGCTAATTTGCTGTGATACAGCACTAAGCAAAAGTAACTTGGGGACAAAGGGTTTTATTTATTTATTTTGTCTTACTCAAGGGACATCAAGGCTGAAGGATCTTTGCTAACTTGCTCCCAGGCTCCTGCTGGACTCCCTTTCTAATGCAGTACAGGCTCACCTGCCATCACTAGCAATCATGAAGCAATATTGCTTCTAATTTGATTTTGTTTCTATCTAATCATTTTCCAAAATGAGGTCTTTAATTGGAACAGATATACAATAACCGATATGTTAGTTTCTCAAGGAAAAAAGAAATCTCTCTTTATTTTTCAGAGGTGGCTGGATCCAAACAAACCAATAAGGAAGCAGCTAAAAAGTGAGCATACTATTTACTTGATGTTTTGCAAATATGCCTTATAAAGATAATAGCCTAACATAATCTGATTAATTAGAGCTGTTTTTGTTAATTTTAGGAGGATCTCCTTACAGTTTGAACTTCAGAGTCAAATTCTTTGTAAGTGATCCCAACAAGTTACAAGAAGAATACACAAGGTGGGTTTATGGAACAGTTTCTTTTGAAAACATTGGCAAAGATCTAATATGAAAAAATGCAAATAAGTAGGCAAAAATAAATGTCCATGCTGAAAACTTAAACTTATAATTTATGCTGAAGAGTTTATAAATTGTCCTACGGTAACCCTTTCCTCCCTATCTAGATGACTGGGAGAGCTTTCAGGTGTTGAACACCCATAGCCACCTCTTCCAGCCACAAGCAGCACTGCTGAAACTGAATGAGTACATGAGATGGCACTGGCTTATATCCAAGGCATGCTGCATATTGAGAGTTTCTGGTATACATGGTTTTTTTTTTTTTTATCAAACACATATTACAGGTTTTTTCTTTCCTTTTGTTGAGGAGAGCATAAGATTTCATATATATATTAATACCATGTGAAGGATGCGTTTTTAACTTTTAATTCCAAAGAAAATGTTACAGGGATAAAGCACATTTGGGCCTCTCCATGCCCACCTGACTGCCCATTCTAAGTCTCAGCGTGTCACTTCTACTTGAGAATGATCTAAAGCAGCATTTCAGCAGTGTCCTTGAGAACTAGGTAAAATGTTTGGGGTAGAAATAAGAGAGGTAATGACAGTTATTGTTAAAGTAAGCTGAATAATAACCTTTTGTGTTTGGCAAAATGCAGAATTAGTAATTTAAATGAAAAGAATTAGAATCCTATACTTTCTGTACACTTCTCAGATTTAAGAATTTCGGTGAGTGCCTATCAGAATTACTTTACTGATGTGATAGAATAGAGCAGCAAAATAATAAATCTGTTGAATTAGTCCTTAGATTTCTGTGGAGTTCTCAATACTTATCCAAGCTTTAAAAAAAAAAAGTCATAGTTCTTGAGAGTCTTTTCTGTTTGCTGATGTTGCTTTTTTGATAATGAGAAGACACTAGAGTACAAGTGCCACATTAGACAGCTGGAACATTTGCAATAGTAATAGAATCTAGGCTAATTTGTCTTGAAACACAAAGTCGTGTTTAATTTACCATTATAGCTCTGTTTTTGTTGTTGCTTTTCCTTCCTTAAAACCATATTTTATGTATCACAATACAGTTTACATACTAAATTTAGCAAATATGTTGTTGATGTTAAGTGTTTAAAATAATCCTATCATTATAAATAATTCTCAGGATACTAAAAGTTTACCTAATTTTGCCTGAATTCCAAGTTATATTGTATTAGTTATTTTTCTTATTGCTATGATTAAATACGTGTCAAGAAGCAACTTAAGCTGGACGGTGGTGGCGCACGCCTTTAATCCCAGCACTTGTTGGGAGGCAGAGGCAGGCGGATCTATGGGAGTTCGAGACCAGCCTGGTCTACAAGAGCTAGTTCCAGGACAGGCTCCAAAACCACAGAGAAACCCTGTCTCGAAAACCAAAAAAAAAAAAAAAAAAAGAAGAAGCAACTTAAGGGAAGGGCTCATTTTGACTTGGAGTTTAGCATTCATTGGTTATAGCTCATCATGACAGGGTAGGTATGTCAGCAGGAGCATGAAGCAACTGGTGTTATTACATATATAACCCGAAAGCATAGAGAGGAACAGGAAGGAAACTGAGTTATCAAACCTCAAGGCCTGCTCCCAGTGACTAACTTCCTCTGGCAAGGCTCTTCCTCCTTAAGGCTCCACAACCTTCCACAACAGCACCACCAGCTAAGTGTTCAAACTCGAGCCTATGGGAACATTTCACATTCATCTAATAGCTGGGTTCAATATCTAATTCACACAGAAAACTGAATTTCCTATTAGAACCTATATGTGTGTTAATAGTATATAATGGAAACAATGAGGGTGCATTTCACTGTTAATTGAGTCAGAACCTGAAGAAGGGTAAAATTGTGTAAGCAGTTGGGAACTTGTGCTCAAGCTATCAGTGTAGAAGATTCTCTGTTTTTATTAGAAATAATGTTTAATTTCAGTGCTCTTTAATCTGTATAAGTATTGCTGTTGGTAAATTGTAGTACATGACTACATTTTATTTAATCATCATAACTATACAAAAGTGATTCTCTACCCTGATTAGTAATTTATAATTATTTGGGAGCACTTTAAACCACAGTAATTGTCTATACCCCTAGATATTCTGGTGTAATGTGACTCAGATAGCCCCTGAGTAAAGACATGTATAGTTCCTCAGGTAATTCTAGTATTATAACTAGGGAGCCAGGGCTAAGCAATACTTTAGTGTGGGGCTGATGGAGATGGCTCAGTGTTAAGAGCACATACTGTTCTTGCATAATACCCTACTTTGGTTCCCAGCACCATGTCAGGTGCCTCACAGCTTGCCTGTAACTCTACTTCCAGGGGATTAAGGGTACTATTCTGGCCTCTGTGGGAGCATGTATTCATGTACACATTCCCACACACTGATAACAGATACATATAGACAAAGGTTTTCAATTTTGTTTTTATTGATTTTCTGTGTGTAATGTGCTTGCCTCTGTGTCAGTATGTTTCTTACGCTTTTTTTTGGGAGGGGTCTGTTTGTTTGTCTGTTTTGTCCTATTCTGTTTTGTGTGTTTGTTTTATATTGATTATTATTGTTGCTATTTAGATGCCTATTTTATAATGAGAGAGAGAAAGGGTGTGTACTTGGGTTGGTGGGGAAGTGTAGAGGATCTTGGAGGATTTGGGGGAGGGAAATCATAATCAGAATAAATTATATGAAAACATCTATTTAAAAAAAAAAGAAAGAAAAAGAAATACTTTGCTGTGATGATCCTGATTAGTATCAAGTGTCCGTTGGCCACAGCTGCTCACTCTTTGGGAGTAGTTTAGGTCTCACAAAAAAGGGCGTTTCCTAGATCTCCTTGCTTGAGATAGCATTTTGAATTAGTGGGAAGAAAACCAATGGCATCGATGTCTTGCATCATGGTAAAATATACTTCATTTTTGGCAATTACCAGCATCATTAGAATTGATTTTTTTTTAAACTCCCAAAACTCCTGGCAAGTGATCTTATTTCCCTTACAAATGTAGAAATTAAGGTTTGTCCAAATTTTAGTAATTTGCCTGAAGTAATAGGCTGCTTTAGAACTTGAATTCTAGTTTTTATTGAGAATTCCTTTTTTGTTAAATAAATATATAAGTGATCTTTGATAAGTATAAGTATTATTTGTGAAGGATTTTAAAATTATATCAAGTGCATATATTACCTTTAAATCACAACTATAAAACTGTTTTTGTACCAAAGACCTTTTAATTTTTTCTTCTTTTTAGTGATATTAGGCCGTGTACATGCTAAGCATGTACTCTGCCATTGCCTTATACCACCAATCCCATCTTTAGCTTTTGATTATGAAACTAAGAATATCTGAGAAAATTGTACTGTATTGAATTAAGTAAATAATATCCAGTTTGTGTTTTGACTTTTTAAAAGTTGAATGAAGCCTATAAACTTCCTGTTTAATGTTTGAAATTATGAATTTTTTTTATACCGATTCAGCACAGGTGATTTTGTCCAGGTATTGACTAGCTTACCCACTGTCAGGGACAGAAGGACAGTGCCACTTTGTAGGCAACCTCAGCAGCGTGTCACAGTATACTATTGTTTGTGTTAAAAGAAGCTGATCGTGTAACCACTCCAATACTAGAGCAATAGCAGGAGAAGGAATTCAATTAATTTTCTGATGAAAGAGCTTTCTTAACTCCAGTGGAAGTAGGCAGTTGTTCTTCTACATTAATCATAATAACAAACTGATCTGCATATAGGCTTGTCCTTGTAATGGCTTCCTGTTTACACAGAAAGGATTGCTTCCTTTCACTGTTTCTGTGTGTGTTGTCTATTTCTATGTCATTGATGCTTAAGTTATCTATGCTTCCAGTTCTTCTTGCATGGACCAATCCTTAGTCTGTTGCTCCCAAGTCTCCTTCCTGGTAGCAGAAATCTTAGAAGTCTTGAGTAGTTTTATAATTGAAACAAGATATTCAAAATGAAAAATTTTATATATTAATGAATTTTAAAGACTTGAAGTCAAGCCTACTTCTGGTATTTTTTGCTAATGTGTGCATATGCTGAATTTATTTGCTAATGTGTAGACTACAAAAGGAAATATTTAGATATTTAGTTTCATTAATATAAGTGTATAATATATAAGAACTCAAATTGATTCTAATATCTTTTTTTAAAAAAGGTATCAGTATTTTTTGCAAATTAAGCAAGACATTCTTACTGGAAGGTGAGCTATTTTTAATTTTTATTTTTACAGTATAAAAATACTTTAAATTAGCCGGGCAGTTGTGGTACATGCATTTAATCCCAGCACTTGGGAGGCAGAGGCAGGTGGATCTCTGTGAGTTCGAAGCCAATCTGGTCTACAGAGAGAGTTCCCAGCCAAGTTCCAAAGCTACCCAGAGAAACCCTGTCTCAAAAAAACCAAAAAGAAAAAGAAAAACAATAAAAAACAAAAACAAAAACAACCTTTAAATTATGTATTAAGTAACTTATGATTGATTGCTGTAACACGTTTTAAAAATGGGTTTTTGTAGTATTAGTTCCTTTTATCAGACTTTTTTGGGAATTCTTTTGAGACATTATCTTATTATGTAGCCTAGGTTGGCCTCAGACTGGCAGTCATCTCAAATTCATAAGTGTTGAGATCGTAGATGTATGCCACAAATCCCAGCTTAACTAATTGTGGTTAAAATTAGTGCATATGGAAACTTCCAGAATCAGTAGTATAATGTAAACTACAGTGCATTTGAAATTGTATTCATCCTTGGGTTATGTATTTTCTTTTTTGTCTTACTAGATTGTCCTGTCCTTATAATACTGCTGCCCTTTTAGCTTCATTTGCTGTTCAGTGTAAGTATCAGCTTACTTTTAAGTCAAGTAGCATGTGGTTTTGTAGTCTCTATTGATAATACAACACCTTTAAATGTAGGAATGCAGTAGAGACTGCTGAGGGAATGCAGTGAAATGTCCAGCTGATTAGCAAGCAATACTTTGATTCTTGAAACATTTTCTATATTGAGACCCAGAAGAATACATGATTTATTGCAACTTATTTAATGTTATTATACTAGAAACATGCATTCCTTTCATAAATACATATATTAATGACATTGTTGATTTGAGTACAATTAAAATATTTATGAAAGAATGATGTTTTCTTTTTCTTATTAGCTGAACTTGGAGACTACAATCAGTCAGAAAATTTGCCAGGCTACCTCTCAGATTATTCTTTCATTCCCAATCAACCTCAAGATTTTGAAAAAGAAATTGCAAAGTTACATCAGCAGCATATGTAAGCATTTATTTAATATTCTGCTTATTTGGTAGAATTTATGGGTAATCTTTCTAGAAAGAGAATTGTTTCACATCATTCTTAATTTTATTGCTGTGTTTATATAGTATAGAAATTTATATTATATATTATAAAGAAATATATATATAATTTACACTAAAAGCATTTCATTGCTCATTTCACAAAATATATGAGCCTTGCTTTCATTTCTTTAACAGCTATAAATTATATATAAATTGTGTCTATCTGGTTTTATATAACATTGTCAGTTCTTTAAGAAAGAATTTTAGGTGGCTGGAGAAATAGCTCAATGGCTAAGAGTGCTTGTTGCCCTTACAAAGGTCCCAAGTTTAGTTCTGAGCACCCAGATCAGGTGACTCACAGCAGTGTGTTAACTCCTGCTCAAGGGATGTTAATGCCCTTTCTGGCCTCTACGGACATTCATACTCACATGCACATACCCAGCCATAAGTACACATACATGTAATTTAAAATAAAATAAAGCTTTAACTTTAAAAAATAAAATTTTAGAGTAATGCATTTATAATATGCAAAGCGATGGACTTGGTAATTTTCTTAGTTTTTAGATATTGGAAAGATTTTGACTCTGTTTGGTAATGACTGAGGCGATAAGTACCAACCCAGTGCAGTTCTTTTAATGCTCATTTAAAGGCAGTTGACTTGTTTCACTCACAGTAGTGTTCAACTTTGATTTTATTTTAGTCTAATCTTTTGTGACATTTGAAAAAGGGTTATTTATTTATGTGTATGAGTATTCTGCCTGCGTGTATGTCTATGGATCACGCACGTGCCTTCCTGGTACCCAAGGAGGTCAGAAGGGAGTGTCAGAACCTCTGGGACTGGCTGTGATGTATAGAATTGATTCTGGCTATTCTTTAAGAGCAACAAATACTCTTCTGAGCTCAAATGCTGAGCCAACTCTTCAGCTCCTTGTGACATTTTTTCAAGAAGGCATTTGTTTTGTTTTCAACACAGCGTCTTTGCAGTACCAGACTGTCCTGGAATTCACCGTGTATACCAGGCTGTCGTCAAACTCACAAAGAGATTGACCTGCCTCTGTCCCCTAAGTGTTGGGATTAAAGTTGTGTGCCACAACTACCTAGCCTTACGAATTGGTTTTGGGAGGAGGTGGTACATGCCTTTAATCCCAGCCCTTAGGAGGCAGGCAGAGACAGCCTGGATCTCTGTGAATTTGAGGCCAGCCTGGGCTACAGAGTGAGTTCCTAGACAGCTATGGTGACACAGAGAAACTAGGTCTCTAAAAACAAAAACAACAAACAAGCAAACAAAATGTTTGGTTTTTTTTGTTGTTGTTGACTCAAGTTTTGCTTTAACCTATGGTTCACAGTAGTGACAGAACAAAGATAGTGTAGCATATTGGCTAAAAGTCAAGAGTTAGACTCAGCCGGGCGGTGGTGGCACACGCCTTTAATCCCAGCACTCGGGAGGCAGAGGCAGGCGGATCTCTGGGAGTTCGAGACCAGCCTGGTCTACAAGAGCTAGTTCCAGGACAGGCTCCAAAACCACAGAGAAACCCTGTCTCGAAAAACCAAAAAAAAAAAAAAAAAAACAAAAAAAAAAACAAAAAAAACAAAAAGAGAGAGAGTTAGACTCATTAGCTTGAACTTCTAGTCAGATCACTCACTGTTTTATAACTTTGATCATAGTTGTTGCTCTGTTTTGTAGCGCAGTTTCTAATTGGTCTTAATAATAAAAATCTGGAGTCAGATATAGGGTGTGAAAGCTGAAAGATTAGAGAAGCAGAGAAGCCAGCCACTAGTTCTTAACTCTACAAAATCCTCAGAACCAAGGGGAGCAAAATCCTGTCTCTATAAATCCTCAGACTGAATGCTGAGCTCCTCTCTCCTCCCCTGTTATATTTCTCTCTCAACCCAGCCATATCCCTTCCTGTCTCCACTTTACTAGTGCTGGGATTAAAGGCATGTGACTCCCAAGTACTGGGATTAAAGATCAATTTCACCACCTGGCTCTGTTTCTCTTTGAGACTGGATCAATTTCAGGTAGCCCCTGGTGGCCTTGAACTCACAGAGATTTGTCTGCTTCTGCCTCCTGAGTGCTGGGATTAAAGGTGTCTGCCACCATTGCCTGATGGCTATGGCTAACTAGTGGCTTAACTCAGAACTCTGATCTTTAGGCAAGCTTTGTAGTGGCATTTCATTTTGTATTTTAATAAATAAAGCTTGCCTGAAGATCAGAATTAAAACAGCCACACTGGCCAGCCTTAAAAACCAGGCAGCAATGGCACACACCTTTAATCCCTGTAGCCACACTAGCTGGCCATAGAAAGCAGGTGGTAGTGGTGCACACCTTTAATCCCAGAACTAAAGAGGATTATAAAATGGGAGGAGACAGCTATCGGGCACAGTCTCATTCTGAGATTCTGGAGGCAGGATTGCCATTTCAGACTGAGGTAGTGGTAAGAGCCAGTGGCTGTTTTGCTTTTCTAACCTTCAGGCGGAACTCCAATTTCTGTCTGAGTTTTTTTTAATTGTGGTTCAAAGCTTTATTTCTCAAATTGTTTGAGATAATTAAAGTATCTTGAGGTAGAAATTTTGAGTCTTCTTGTTTGTTTGTTTGTTTGAGAAAGGATTTCTCTAAAGTGTATCCCTGGCTAGCCTGGAACTCAGAGATCTGCCTGGCTCTGCCTCCCAGTGTCGTGATTGTAGCCCACTCCTACTGGCCAGAATTTCTGAGTCTTAAGTGAGATTATATGTACAAAGTTCTCAAGATGGTACCTAGTACATCGTAGACACTAAAGAAATATTAACTCTCATTGCCATTTGGTAATAATTCAAGTGTCTCAAACTAGTAAGAAAACAACTGTTCAGTATCTAATTTTGAACAGCCAGTGGGCTAAGCATGACAAATACATGAGTTTTTTTTAAATGTAACACAATGTATATTTGTTTGTGTTGTAAATGTAATATATGTAAATATGTCACAGAATATTTGGAACAAACCTAGACCTTGCTTATGTTAGTATTCTACCATTGCTCAGTCTATTATTTTAAATTATTTTAAATGCTTGCGGGAGGAAAATATTTTATAGGACGAAAAGTTTCTGAAATCCATTGCTCATAAATGAGCACTCATGTGAACAGACATCGTCATCTTTTTCTGTGTTGGATGTGGCTTGTTACAAAGACAGTTTATCTAGAAGGCTTAAAAATACTATTTAATCCTTTCTAGTAAAACGATTTTTGACCTTGGATCTGCTCTAGACTATAATCACTTGAGAATTTAAACTGAGTGGTTTAATGTGGTGAGTGTGCTGCTTTCCTGTAAAAACCATCCCTTTATAGTGAAGGCTTTTCATATAGCCTATCTGAGTAAGTTGGAATTTTAAAATTTTTCTATTAAAAGTTCCTTAAATAAGGACAAGGCTTGTACTTTCCACAAGCTAATTTGAAAAGCTGATTTTTCAGCTCTGTAAACAAAAACAGTTAAGTTTAATTGAAAGGACTATTGTTGTTAAGGGGTCATTCATTTTGATCATGCATTGACCTTTTCAGTATCAGTGATGCAAAGGTTGATATCTTAGCTTTATTATTCTCTTCCATATTGCCTGCTAACACCATATAACTAAGTTCATTAGAACTAGATATTAAATAGAGTAGACCTTTTAAAAAGACTATATTTTAGAGTAATCCTGAAATTTTTGTTTTAAGAATCAGTAGAAATATTTTTAAAATATGAAACTTGGACCTCAGCCTCCCTGTGGAATTGAACTTCTAAGCATCTCAGATAAAAGACTTTTTCTTCAGTCATTATTATACTATCTATTATATATTTTGAAATATATAGTAAAAAGAAATGAATAGTTGAAAGGTTAAAGTAGAGAAATTGAAGACTACAGAAATTTAAAGACTACAGAAATTCAAGGCTACAAGGTTGCTCTAAAAACCTCTTGATACTTGTGTTTGTGTATCTGTGACAGTGTTGCATGTTGAAGTGCCCTGTAGGTTTTTCGTGTGGCTATGGTGATAAACTGTGTTGTGAGAAAGATTTGAGAATTATATCTGGAAGTTAAGTGACTTTGTTAACAGCTATAAGATCAGTCAGAAGTTTTAAGACTTGCCTATTGTTTTTCTTTTTTCTCTTCTGGCCTGTAATACTTTCCAATAGTTTCTTTCTAATTGCCACTGTCTCTAGAAATTATTTTTAATTAAAATATTTTATCACTTTCCTCCTTCCCTTTCCTCCCTCTATTCCCTTCATTGCTCCTCTGACTCACTCTCAAACTGATACCTTTTCTCTTTATTATAGTTATGTATATATAATACATAAATTTATTATACACACACATATATACATATGTACGCATAAATGTATGAGTACAACTTGCTTAGTGTGGCCTGTGTGTATGTGATCTCAGGACTGACAAACTATTTGGTATTCAATAACTAATTGGACGGTTCTTCCCTGGAAAAGACTAATTTTTCCCCTCTTAGCAGGCATTAATTGTTTTTTGTGGATAGGACCTCATGAAATTTCCCCTTTCTCTATTAGTATGTCTTTTGATATCACCATTGTTCAGGTCTTGTTTAAGCAGCCATATTCTTGAAGTATCATGGGCGAAGCTTTTCTATTATTTCTAGAAAACAGAATCTCACAGGAGACTTCCTGGTTTGCTGGCTCTTGTAGTCCTTTACCTCCTCTTCCTCAGTGTGCTCCAAGCCTTAGGTTCAGGAGTTGTGTTGTAGATGTATTTAGTGGGGCTAGCTCCCCTATGACCCATTGTTTTTTCTGTATTATGACCTGTTACAGGTTTTTCTGTAATGGGCTTTGTTTACTGTAAAGAGAAGTTTCTTTGATGAAAGAATGAGAATTATATTTAACTACAATAAAGAAAAAATTAAGGATGTAGTGAGGAATTACAGTAGTCTAGTGAAAGGATGGTAGTAGGTTCTCTATTAAGGTCGTGACCTCATAAACCCCAGAACTTACAGTATTCTTGTAGTTCTGGAAAATAAAGAAGTTAATATGATAAAAGTATGCTAGTGGAGTCAGTCAGATCTTACTACAGAAAACTAAAAGGAGTACTCCTACTTGGTGCTTAGTTAGATTCTCCATTTCTTCACATAATCATTTTGTCATTTGACAATTTTTACTGTGGATCTAGTTTTTGACCTGATGTTTTCTTTACAGTGGCTTATCTCCTGCAGAAGCAGAATTTAATTACCTAAACACAGCACGTACCTTAGAACTCTATGGAGTTGAATTCCACTATGCAAGGGTAAGTAAAGAAAAATTACTTAGATGTTGAGTTGGGCTTCATTTTTTAGTCTCAAAGATTTTAAAATCTTTTTATCTGTGTACAGGGCTGGGGTGATTGAACCAGGGCCTTATGTGTGTTGAGCAGGTACTCTTATTCTTAGCCATACAAACTCAACTCCTCAAAATTTTAATTCCCTGAGAGAACTAAGTAACAGGATAATTTGTGTTTGCTGTTGACGTAGTTGCAATAAAAATTTCTTCTCAATATAAATATTTTCACAGTAGCATAAGTGCAAAGTTGGTGGACATAGACTGTTCTTATTTTTTCCAGGTGGTTGTTTATGTTGTAGAAAGAATGTTTATAGACTGAAAGGGGACAGTAGTTTTAGAATATGTGTTTTATAAACATAAGGTTGCTTTAGGAAAGTACTTTTGTATAAATATTTGATAATCGTGATCATGCAAGATGCTGTCATATCACTGAAACTTTCATTCTTGTTCTTAAGGTTTCCAACACTGAACTGGTTATTTTTTACTTGTAAAGCCCCAAATAAAGAATATCAATGTGTCATGTTTGTATTTGTCTGACTCTCTTTATTAAAGTGGAATTTATAATTACTGGCTTTCCCAGTGTAATGTTTATCTTGTGTGAAACATTTTTCCTTTCAGAAGTTGTTACCCTCTTCCTGGTGTCTGTGAATGACTGTAGCTATATTCCTTTTTGTGACTTATCAAGATTTAAATTCCTTTCAAGTACCTAAAGTATAACCATTTTTCAGTAGAATTATAGTCATCAGTTGAGTCAACAGTGGAGTTTTTATTCTTGAGCCTAATTAGGCTAGTATTAGGTGGAATGAGGAGGAAAGGGAAAAGCCTTGATTTTCCTTAGATACATTATTGAATTTATCTTGATAAACAGGCACAGGGAGGTACAGAGTCCACTGCAGAAGTCCTTACTCATAGTTCTGTCCTCTAGTACTTTGTCCTTCAGGGCCTCCCCTGATCGGGTTTGGAGCAGTGAACTCTACTTCTTATGTTTCACAGATCGTATGTCTGTCTCACTTTTTAAAAGACCTGATGGTTTGATTTCCTCAAATGATTGATATCTTGTAATTCTTTAAGTGTCTCTTGAACTTCTTGCTGTTTTTAAAAAATAATCCTTCATTTTCCTTGGGGCTTATTATTTTAGAGATTAGGTTTATTACATACTCTCATTGTGTTTGTACAGCTAGGTTTTGCTTTTTATTACATGAAAGTTTACAACTGATGTAACTACATTTTTTTGGACTAGTTTATGCTTTAAACTGGTCAGAAAAGGGAGTTCTACTCATTTGCAGTTTTCTAAGTGATTTTTATTCTGTAGAGATTCTTGGCCATTAAATACAAAAATATTAAACCTTAAAAATTTAAATGCAAGGTTACTAAATCTCATATAACTGTGTTGTTATGTTGATTTAATTTGCAGTTTTCTCTTGTTTAAACCGTTAGATTGTAAAAAGTGTCTTAGACAGTCCTAAATATAGAGGGTCAGGTTAAAGGTATTTAAATTTTAAGTGGTTAGCTTTTTAGGAACATGTTTTGTCCAAACCAAACAAAAACTGTCCCACTTATCATATGTGCACTGTGAACTTGAGGTAAGATTCTTCATCCAGGCCAACATAAATATATAGTAATATGATGTTTTCAAAATATTTTTTTGTTTGTTTGTTTGCTTGCTTTTTCAAGACATGGTTTCTTTGTGAAACAGTCCTGACTGTCCTGGAACTGGCTTTGTAGACCAGGCTGGCCCCAGACTTACAGAGATCTGCCTGCCTCTACCTTCCAAGTGCTAGGACTCAAGGTGCACCACCACTGCCAGGCTCCAAAATATTTTTTAAAGGCCAAAGAAGGCATTATGTCTTAGATGTGCATACTAAGACCTCAAAAGATCATTTAGTAAATATAAAGGGAATTTTCCAAAAAGAGGAACACAGAAAGAAAACTTAAGTTTTAATTGGATATCAGGCAAAAGTGTATTTAAAATAACATATCTTTCAAAGACTGCAGAATATGGCATTTTAAATGTTTTAATAACTTAGGGCTTTTCATGACAATGAGACACGTCTGCTCCTGGCAGCATGAGCTACTTCAAGAGGACGATGGGCATCAAAGAGGCTACTTATGGAGTTTGATAGCCAATTAGGCAAGAAACTGCTCTTGCCTGGACTGTTGTATAAACTGGACACAGAGAACCCGCAGAGAAAGGACTGTTGAACTTGCCTAAAGGTGAGATGGTCTTTCAGGGTTCCTGATTCATGAAAGAGTCTGCAAGACATTCTGCAGGATACAGCAGAAAGTGAGTGACTGAACTGTCTTTGAAATTTCCTGCTTCTTGGAAAAGTCTGCTGGATACTATGGGCCTGAAGGCTGAAGATGGATGCCCCAATGGTACAAAAGAACTTTGGGTGACTGTCCAGGCAGCAAGATGTCTCTGTCATTTCTAGAGTTTTGGAAGTTGCTTACTTCTTGTTTACTTAGGTAATATTATATCCTTCTGGAGTCTTTGATGGAGTTGAAGAATGGTTAGTTTTAGTTTTCCTTTGTTATTATAAATGATAAAATAGATCTAAATATTGTTTTTTTTTCTGTCTTAAAACTCAAGGCAGTTTTTATTTCCTCCGTTGAATCCTGACAATGGTTACTTTTGTAACAAAAGTGATTGTAGGCAACAGACCCTCAAGATTCAGAATCTGAGATTGGATAATTGTAGATCTAAATATTGTAACTGTAATTCTTGATAACTGTTTTGTTATATGTAATTTTACTATGTAAAAGTTAAAGCCTTCTTTTTTGTTTAAACAGAAAAGGGGGCAATTATGTGGGAGTGTCATCTATCTGTTGCTTTCATCGGTTAATTAATAAAGAACTGCTTGGCCTTTGATAGGCCAGCCCTTAGGTGGGTGGAGTAGACAGAACAGGATTCTGGGAGAAAGAAAGCCGAGTCAGGCAGTCGCCATAGCTCTCCTCTCCGAGATGGATGCAGGTTAAGAATATTCCCGGTAAGACACCACCTCGTGGTGCTACACTCATTAGAAATGGGTTAATCAAGATGTGAGAGTTAGCCAGTAAGAGGCTAGAGCTAATGGGCCAAGCAGTGTTTAAAAGGGTATAGTTTCCATGTAATTATTTCGGGTAAAGCTAGCCGGGTGGCGGGACACAGTCCCGCCGCCCCTCACTACATAGGACAATGATTTTTTTCCTTTCCTCCCCTCTCCTTCCCTCCCCTCCCCTTCTCTATCTTTATCTCTCTCCTTTTTTCTTTCTTCTTTCTCTCTCCTCCTCTCTCTCTCTTTCTCTTCTTCCTCCTTTTTCTTTCTTCTTTTTCTTGTCTCCTCCCTCTCTCCTCTCTCTCTCTCTCTCTCTCTCTCTCTCTCTCTCTCTCCGGAGTCTCTTCTCTCTTCTCTCTTCTCTCTTTCTCTGTATGTGGTATACAGATCCTTACATATGTGTGGTGTACCTGAACATGTGTACATGTGCATATAGAGACTGAGTTTGAGGACAAGAATCATTCTTGATGGCTGTTCTTATTCAGTTAGGTAGAATTAAACCCAGAGTTCGCTGATATCGCTAGTCTTGCTAGACAGTTTATTCAGAGGATCACTTTTCTCCTCATTCCAAGACTGGAATTACAGATGGGCTGCCAAGGTCACATGGCATTCTAAGGATCAAACTCTGGTTCTCGTGCTTGTGCAGCAAGTACTTAACTGCTAAAGCATCTCTCCAGCTTCTAAATTAGTGAATTTTAATACTGCCACATTTAACCTTTTTGAAATTTGCCTTTTATGAGACAACAACAAACTGTTTGGGTTTGGGTTTAGTATAATTCAGTTTTGTTTAAAACACGATGTGTGTTTTAAAAAAATCTAGTCCTCTTTTAATTATTTTAGATTGTCATGTGTTTATTTTGAAGGATCAAAGTAACAATGAAATCATGATTGGAGTGATGTCAGGAGGAATTCTGATTTACAAGAACAGGATGCGGATGAATACTTTTCCATGGTAAGGATTTCTACAAATACTTTTGCTTTTATCATAATATTACCAAATATACTAATTCATACTAAATAACCTTTAACTGTTATAATCTAGTCAGCTTTCATGTGTGGTTCAATTTATACTTTATTTTGATCACTGAAAATGAATCAAAAGATACCAAGATAATTTGTTTCAATATTGCTTCTTAAAAGTATTATTATATTTTCTTCTTAGAGAATATACAAATATTATCATAAGAATTCTCACTTGGGGCTGATATAAGATTTGCACTTGCTGTTTTTATTTAAATGCATTCATTGAAATGCCAGTTTATAAGCTGGAAGATGCATGGCTACTGAACCAACGATCCAGTACTGTGGTTGTTTAAATTAGTACAAGCAAAGCATGTGGGTTCCACAAAGGTTTTACACTCATTCTTCCTTTGTCTTATCCTTCTGCCATCTTCTGTTTGTTGTCCTTGCTCTCATTGTTCAAGATGGGCTACCACTATGATTTATGATTTCTGTATCTCAAAGCAAGGAAAAAGAGAAAACATGTTTCTTTTTAAGGTGATAAATTAAGGTTTATAAAAATAACTTTGATCATTAATAACCTTAATGTACTCAAGGTTATTCAAAGGTTTAGCTCTTTTAAATAAAGTGAATTTAGGGGAAGAAGCAAATTCAAAATCAATACATTGTATCAGTAGGTTTCTTTTGTATATCTCCTAAAAGATTTGATCTTGTTTTTCCCCCAGTATTTATTATTTTTAATAAGCTTCCATAATTAGTTACTTTAATAATACATTGATAGAATAAAAATAGAAATATGATAGCTAATAGAAATAAATGTCTTTGGAAGCTCTCATAACTGTCTTTTCTTTTAAAAGCTCTAATCCCAGGATTTTTGTAATGTATCACCTTTGAAACATTGTATTACTGATGGAAATGCAATAAGATACACTAACTTTGCCAGGCGGTGGTGGCACACGCCTTTAATCCCAGCACTCGGGAGGCAGAGGCAGCCGGATCTCTGTGAGTTCTAGACCAGCCTGGTCTACAAGAGCTAGTTCCAGGACAGGCTCCAAAACCACAGAGAAACCCTGTCTCGAAAAACCGAAAAAAAAAAAAAGATACACTAACTTTGGAAACTGGCATTTTCTTTAAAATTAAAATCTATTAAGCAGTGCTCTGGAGGAACAAAGAAGAGGGTGGAAGGGAGGAGGGAGGAAGAAGAGAGAAAGAAATAATTTATTAGGTTATCTTACATGGTAGTCCTTACAGTGGTCATCTGTTTGTTGGAGTGGTTGGGAAGCCTAGAGTTCAGCCTGAGAAGTTCAGCTGTCTCAATCCAGTACTGAAAGCCTGGAAATTCCCTGGAAAGTTGTTGCTAATGAGTCAGTATCAGAAGACTGAAGTTCTAGAATGTAATGTCAAGAAAGAGTTAAGTAGCATCCGTAGATGAACTCGTTCAGAAAGAAGCAGCAGAGGCAGGAGTATATCCTAAACCTCTTTATATCTGGTTGCTGGGGATGGGTTTCAGCTAATCCTCTCCTGGAAACCCCTCACAGACACTCCTAAAGGTATGTCTCCTCTGTGACTCCAAAGCCAATTGTGATAATTAATCTTGTCAAGTTAATGGGAATAGAATTACTATGGAAACAAGCCTTTAGCCTGTACCACCATGCCTTCTCTGCCATGATGAACTGTAATTTCAAGCTGTGAGCCAAAATAATCCTTTCTTTTCTTAAGTTACTTTTGTCATAACAAAAAGAAAAATACTTAATACAGACAATTGTTGCCAGCAGTAAGGTTGTTGCTGTTTTGCTGTTTTAATACTTTGTGGTTCTTAAGCCTGTGGAACTAGTTTGTATGGGAAAGTGTAGAAGAATTTAGAGTTTTGGATTATAAAAACCCCAGAATTCTGTAAGCAGAACTTTATGAGTCATTGTGGAAGGCCAGGATTTAGAGAATACTGGATAGTGGAGGCCTGGCTTATGAGGTGTCCCCCCACCTTTTTCCCCAAGACAGGGTTTCTCTGTAGCTTTGGAGCCTGCCTTAGAACTAGCTCTTGTAGATCAGACTGGCCTCGAACTCACAGAGATCCACCTGCCTCTGCCTCATGAGTGCTGGGAGCAAAGGCATCAAAGGCATGTGCCACCACCGCCGGGGTTTTTTGGTTTTCTCCTTCCTTCCTTCCTTCCTTCCTTCCTTCCTTCCTTCCTTCCTTTATGCTCCTGAGGTCTTAAAGGGGAACAAGTCCTTTATGGGGATCTGGGCTTGAGGCCATTCATGTTACATTCTGGCAAGAAAAAAAGAAAATAAAGAAATCTAACTTTATTTGGCTCATGTCCTGAGAACTTAAATTGGACAAATTGAAAAGGAATGGGCTAATTTATTTGGTAGAGGAATTTCAAGGCAGTATTGTGTTGTTTGCTGTTTACAGCCTTCTCCAGCTTACAGTAACCAAGAGTAAAAAGTAGAGCAGAGAGATGAAAAGTGGAGGTCTGTGAAGAAGAGTATGAGCAAGTATGAAACTACGGAAAAGACAGGCTCAAAGAGCTGTGATCATTAGAGATTAGGCCCAGTGAAGAAAATCCTTCACACTGTTTTCATAGGAATGGTATCCCAAGAATACTGAAGGCTCCATCTTGTGAAAAATGGAAATTTATTTCAAAAGAGAAAACCTAAACTGAGAATATTGCTCAAGGGGTTCCTTGTTCAAAAGCAACTGTGGCTGGGTAGTGGTGGTGCACGCCTTTAATCCCAGCACTCTGGAGGCAGAGACAGCCAGATCTCTTGAGTTCGAGGCCAGCCTAGTCTACAGAGCTAGTTCCAGGGAAGCTAGTTCAGTTACACAGAAAAACCCTGTCTTGAAAAACCTAAACCAAACCAAAACAAAACTTGTTTCCCAGGGTCACCAAATAGGCTGCAACTGAGCTCCATTCTGAGTTGGCAACAGAAATTAGCACTTTTGTGCATCTGATACTGACATTGTAGACATTAAGATATAAGATTTAGGAGGCCCTGCAGTCTTGTGTAATGGTTTTAGAGATCTGCTCAAGTCAGTTAATATGTGGGAGGGTTAGAGTCCCATTAAAAAGAAGTGGCCAAGAGGCTACTGCATGAAGTTGTGAAAGTGAAGTCCCAGTTTCAATGGAGATTCTAAGATTTTGTTGATGGACCAAGGGATGTCCACTGTAGGAATGCTACAGGAGGAAATGGAATGGAACTGGTTTGAGTCTATGTATATATTGCAGGTATTGGAACTGGAGGGGTCTTACTGCCCAACCCTTTGAGCCCACATGATTCCATCATCTTACCCAAAAGCCTCACATTGAGCTACAGAAGTTCACATTTTCCTTGCAGGGTTTATTATCTTGCCTTAGTTTGATATTTTGGAATGAAACTATTGACTGTATCATTGAATGTATGTAACTCGCTTTACTCATTGTTCAAGGCTCATAGTTAAGGAACTGAGGCTTGAGAAAGTCTTTTGAGCAGTGTTGGAACTAGTAAAGACTATGATAACAGAAATAAATATCTGAAAAGTAGTTTCTACACTGGACTAATAAACAGTGGTTCTTAGCCTGTGGGTTGTGACCCCTTTGACAAACCTCAGTCTCCAAAAATATTTATATTATGATTCATAACAGTAGCAAAATTTCAGTTATAAAGTAGCACTGAAAATAGTTTTATGATTTGGGGGAGGGTGTCACGAAAGCATGAGAAATTGTATTAAAGGCCGGAGCATTAGGAAGGTTGAGAACCACTGGACTAATGAACTGGAAAGACCACCCTAAGTGTGGGCAGCATAATTTCATAACCTGGAATCTTGAACCAAATGAAAAACAGAACGCTGAATTCTAGCATTTGTTTTTCTCACTGCTTCTTGACTACGGACACAGCTACCTTTTGCTGTTGCTGTCATGTCTTCCCTTCCATAATGGACTGTGCCCTCAAAGTGTGAGTCAGAATAAACTCTCTTCCTTGTGTTATCTTTGTCAGGCGTTTTGTCACAGTAATAAGAGAAGTAACTAATAAATACATTGGTCAGATATCAATAGACCAAACATGGAGCCATGTAATCCTAGCATGAGAAACTTAGATCATATATGTAAAAATAAGATTTGTTCATAAAATTCATAGCTAAAGTGTTCATAACATAAAATGAAAATCAAAATGTGTATTAACTGAAAGAATAAACAAATTATGGTATAGTAACATGGTATAATTCTGCTTAGCATTAAAAAGAGATAGACTGTTGATACACTAAAAACATTATACCCAAAAGAATGTACTTTTCTCTATATGAAACCTTAATATATATATATATATATATATATATATATATATATATATATATATATGGGACAAGGCTATTAACTGTAAATGGGCACCAAGGAGACTTTGTTTTTTATTTGTTTGTTCGTTTTCGAGACAGGGTTTCTCTGTAGCTTTAGACCCTGTCCTGGAACTAGCTCTTGTAGACCAGGCTGGCCTCAAACTCACAGAGATCTGCCTGCCTCAGCCTCCCGAGTGCTGGGATTGCATGTGTCACCACTGCCTGGCACCAAGGAGACTTTGTAAGATGGCAGAAGTATTACATGATTGCTCTGTGGTGGTTATGCAGTTGAACAGATTTATTAAAATTCTTGAATTGCTCACTTAAAGTTGGTAAATTGTATTATAAATGCAAAAATACCTGGTGAAACTAAAGATTGTTTAGTGTTTCATCTTCTACCTTTGAAATATTTTCTGTGTAATTGTGGTATGTTCAAGGGCAAAATCAAATGAACAATAACAAAATTCTTGGTTGTAAGTATAGATAGGATGCACAAAAATTAATTTTTATACTATATGTAAATGTCAGAATCATAATTTATTTTCAGGAGATCGTAGTTAAAATGCAAATGATAATTAAACTGTATTTTCAAAGCTCTGTATTATATAATCTTTGTTTTTGTTTTATTTTACTGTTTCATTATTATAAAATGAGGACTCTGGCAAACTACTGATATTTTT